ACCTGATATAGGGTGTTGATGTCATTAGACCACACCCCTTCTCATTACAGAGATGCACATCACCTAATATGCTTAATTGGTAGTAGGCTTTCGAGCCCATACAGCTTGGAGTAAGACAACATGCATGAAGAGGATGATGTGGACAAAATACTCATTTTCCTAATAATTCTGCACTCCCTGTAGAAGCTCGATAATTCTGGAGCCTCTGAAAATTGAGGGGAGGACTAACATGTGTAAATTCCTGTAATTCCTAAACAGTTAATCCAAAACTTTTGCTAAAGCCCTTGAATTAAAGGGTGAAAGTAGTGTATTTGTATGTGTGGAAGTATATACTCTAATTGGAAAAAGCGTCTGGACTGATGAGTTTCTTAAAACTCAAACTCAAAGTAATCCAAACACTTTTTTTGCCCAGATCCTTAGACTACAATGACCTGGATGACTGAGAACCTTCACAGATATATGCTCTAATACTATAAAGCATTACTTTATAATAGTATTATAACACTATAATGGCATAGAGTGTGGTTAACAAGTTTCAGCATAATAGTTTGACACACCTTGGCTTGAATGGTGGTCACTGTGTAGTGCAATTTTTAATCAAGCCACTAGGTGGCACGTGGCGCTCCAGATCCCACAGTGTCACTGCACGTGCTGCCGTGCGTGGGGGGAAAAGCCGGAGCCGCGCCGTTAAAGGTTGTTGTTTTGGTTGTGATTCTCCAGAGCCCGCCCCCTGCTTTTTGATAGGCGCTGCGGTATGATTGGCGTGCGCGCGCTCAATTGTCACCGCGTCAACATGCTGAGGGGGCGTGGCTCGCATTGGTAATTATAACTCTGATTGTGTTCGGACACATGCATCCGTCCCCGTGACGTTGAAAAGTTGATGCAAAGCGCACGTAGTCGTTTCGTCGGAGTAAATAAGAGTTGTGTTTTCGAGCAGAGCGGGCAGTTTCACAAGTTGTCCAACATGACGGCGGCTAACCAAATGTTTTTCGAGGACAGGAGCGACGTGCCGGACCTGCTCAGGTACTTGGCCGACTGTCCCTTCCCGGCCTTTGATGACAGTGGTAAGCATGTTTTAAAATAACTTTATAACTGTTTTTGCATCTTTTTATGAGAGCTGCTTTTGCTAGCGTGCAGTCTGTAGTTGGCAGACTTATTTAAGTAGCATATGGTGGTGTGTAGTTACATTCATGAACACGCTATGTACGTTTTTACTATATTTCATTACTTTATGTGACTTTCCCACATAAAAATTTGACATAGAGGCCTATGAATATTAAGGATTAAACCATGGCACTGGTTGTAAAATGAGTATAATTAATTAGTTACACTATTTTTAAGGTTTATGATTTAATATTGTCCTGTGACAATTGCTGTGTTGCCATTTTATTAGAGTCTGAGATACAAGTAATGCAGCAGCCCTGCAATTCTTCATGGTATCTTCATCTTATTTATCTTGCTTTCAGTGATACACATGAAGTGGTTTTATACATAAAGCTAATGAAGTGACTTCTGTTATTTTGCCTATTAAAACTGACTAGTGCTTTCATTACATCTCAGCATTGAACTAAGTACTTAATCCAGCTCTAGTGTAAAGTTATTTTACTAGCAGACACTTTAAACCCTTCTGTATGGGAAACTGTAGAAGTAAAACCACCCGTAAACATAATTAAATGTCTCCTGTTCAGTTCATTATTTTACTGAGTGCAGTAGTATGTGGTAATCAGAATATCACTCTAATCTCTTGAAGTGTGCACAGGTGATGAAAGGCTGTGAGGTGTATTGTGTCAGCAGACTGTCTATGCTGTTTCTCCGTGTAGCCTGAAACTGATGCAACAACACTGAAACAGTCCTCACTCAGAGTTTCATCATTTCATTAGCTTCTTTATGCACTCTGCTTATGTTATGCACACTTTCTAGCTTACTTTCTGTTAAAAATAAATAAATTCTTTGGTTTATTTTTCATTAGAAGTTGCTAGTGCAATGACATAGGAAATGTGAGAGGGAGTGACATGCAGGGCATGCAAGAAAGACTGCCAGCTGAAACTGAACTAAATGTGTTGGGGTTGTGTTACTTCACCTGTGCTCTGATGTCTCCTTAAGCGTTTGATGGCACTTATGTGGGTACGAACACCTAATTGCTCCAGTATCACCAAAGTTGGTCACAGTGAGGTTTCGAATATACCTTGACCTGTTAAAAAAATAAATAGATAAATAAATCTTAGTATGCAGTCCCCATCTTCTCATGACTAATCAGAGAGTTTGTTCATCTCTATAGACAACCAGACAGCTAGCTCAAAGGCACAGTGTCAGATTTGGGTCAAACAACTTGCAGTAAAGCTGTGGCTAATGATGCATAGGAAATAAAACCACCCTGGAGTTTGATTTCCTTCATAAAGACCAGTCTGTGTCATTCAGCCCCTGAAATCAGACATGTGCTGTATTAGCAGATTTACAGCGAATATTTAGCTGTGTGTCATAAGTGTATGATATACATTGGCAGCATGTAAAATCTATGATGCCCTAGAGTTGACCTTCGGGGGGCACTTTAAGTAAATGTGGTTACAACTGAAAGGAACTCTGCAGTAAAAGCAATAAAACTCAAATAAAGCAAAATGAGTCGGCTAGTAGAAGCAAATCATGTGCCAGTAAAGTTTGTAGTATGTTTAGTAGTTTGTAAGTAGGTTTCTAGTCATGTAAAAATAACAAAAATCCAAAATTATTTATGTAAAAAACAAAACAAAACCAGGTTTTGCAGTAGCCTGAGAGTTAGCTTAGCAAACCTGAAATAATAATAACAACATAGATTTGTATAGGGTCTTTCAAGCAAGCCAAGGATGCTTTTCAGTAGAGTAGATAGAGGTTAAAAGATGCAGCATTATAGAAACTTGTTTTGCTCTCATGGTCTTTCACCATGCTAACTACATATTATTATATTATGATTATTATATTATTATCTTAAGCTAATAAAGTATACTTCCATCCATACTTTCTATGCAGATTTACCTACATGATGCTGGTATACAGATGAAGAAATTGTACAAAGTTGTAATAGCACTACCCTTTGCATCCTTGATACCCTGGCATACAATGTTTGGCTTTAGATTTACATGTTTACACATGTTTGTGACACCAGAAAAAATCCCACAGACATGCAAAGTAATTATAGTGTTAGAAACTCAAATATAAATATTGCATTTTATTATCTTGTAGTATTGACAACCAATGCTGACTCACTAGTACATAATATGCTGGCCCTGTGATATGCAGTGTCTTCGCAGGACACTTCAGTGGCAGATTATTGTGTTATTGTTATTGTGTTTACTGTGGTTGAGGCCTTAATAGTTCTGTAATTTCCCCTGTAAAGCATGCAGAAAGCATCACCATCAAGTTTTAATTCAGTTATTTCTTCCTCATCTCAGTGTGCATACAAAGTTCCCTCTGTTCACATGTGTTGAACAACAGCAGACTCCTGTCTCAGCTGTTTCAAGAGTGTAAATTTAATCAGTTTAAATAGACAGCAGAGGGCACTGATAAGTCTTTATTGTGCTCTGGTTTGCTCTGTAGACACAGCAGACTCCAGCCAAGACCGGTTCTTGTTTTGTATTTTTTCCAGTGAGCTGCAGGACCTAGAATGAAAACTTTGTATTGTGTGAACCGAAAGCATAACAAATTATTTAACAGTTCATTTCCAATATTGAAACATGCTTCCTACTCCCCCTTCGTTTTCTTCTTCTTCTTATTGTTGTTTCAGTTTGACCTTTATCATCCTTGTAATGCGATACAAAATGTTGCACATGCGCTCACTAGTATTCGTGGCCACAGAAACCTTAATAAAAACCCTGGTCTCATGTGTCCCTGTCTAACCTTGTACGTGGACAGAGTATTAGGACACCAGTCTTTTGGTGTGCGGTTTCAGTGTTCAGTCTGTAGAAGCTCATGGCACTTGTGCTGAACTTGGAGGGGGAAAAAAAGAAAAAAAATGAATTTCACTGCGGCTGAACATCGTGTTCCTGAAACAAAACAATATTCGAGACAAGGTCGTGCGCGCTCCGTCGCGCGGAAACACGCACGTCTCTTTTTTTTTTTTTTTTGTGGCAGTGAGGGTTTATTTTTTTAGATTAATTATTATTATTCGGTGCAGAGAGGACCTGGAAGCTGGTGCGCGTAGAGTTAAAGCGTATCTAGGGAAGTATGTGATAGACGTTATAGATTATACCTCGCGTGCACTATTAAATCAATATAAAATAAAAACCCTGTCGTGCGCGTGCCCGCTTCAACCAGCTCGCATTGGCTTGCACGTGCAGAGAATCTTTAAACCACGCCCATCGACAGAGTGTGCTTTCACGTGAGTCGGGTGCGGGCGGGGCGCACGTGTTTGGCCACGAGTATCACGCTCAGAAAACAAGCGACTGCACGAGCTCACAACGTGTTTATGTGGGTGTGGGTATTTGCGCTATGCGTGCGCGCGTGACACGCAGTTCTTGCCGTGAAAGTGTGAGTACCTCGTGCCTCTAACGCCTTCTAATAAAGATGTTAATATGATGACTGCACGAGGCCGAGTGTTGCATTCACGTTGCGCTTATAGGGTCTGTTTTTTTTTTCCTTCTATGTAAAGCCATGATTTCCTTGTGTGTTTGTGGCCAATGACCAAACGTAGAGCTACCACAGATTAGAGTCAAAATGAAGCTGCAGTAATATATTCATATATGAAGTACTGACAGCCAATCAGCTGCTACTATTGCGTGAAAGAGGCGTGGCACGGAACTTCTGAATATCCAACGAGCGCGCTCCGTGGGTAATGAGAAGAAGAGGCTCGGTGTGGTGTTGTTTTTGACTCTAGAAATCTGCATTTTCGGCTTAAAAGGCTCAAAATCAGCGATAGTGTCGAGTCCAGCGGCTAAACGCGGTTCTTGTGTTCCTGTTTTTTCGGACGCAGCTCTCGGTAAAAAAAAAAAAAAAAGCAGCGTCGCCTCGGTGTACTCGGAGCTCGGCACGGAACAATGCCTGGCGAAGCCGCGATGGCAACGGAGCTCGAGCCCAGCGGTAATACCGCTACAGCGTCACCCCAGAAGTCTTTTCCTTTTGTTTTAAAGAAAATTATGGACATACCTCCTCCGAACATCCTGGAGGAAGGAGAAGACGGTAAGCATGATTAATTATTATAAATAATAATAATAATAAATTTAAATTAAAATGCTGCCCAGTTTTTCAGCTTGTAAATGAACCACGAGTATATAGGTTTTAAAGCTGGGTAGTAATCGGCGTCTGGGGTTTCGCCTAAAACGTGTGGTCGTGGTTTTGGCTCACATGCCCTCTCTTGCGTGGAGCAAACGATGAAGAACAAAAAGTTCCTGCTCTTCTGCGCTGACAATCAAGGAGCTAAACCAGGCTGGAAACAGTCAGGACAGAGCGGACTCCCTGGGGTTTTTAATTAAACAGCCCGAGCTACTTTTCTTTGGTTGCTGGCTGATGGTGATGGTGTTTTCTGACTTATCTTCTTTCATTTTAACATCTACTCCCTCTCTCTGCCTCAGTCTGTCAGACCGCTTGTAGGGCTTCTTGGATGTAGCACGCCTTTGTTTATCCATTTGTTTGTCAGGTGTCACATCACCACCACCCCTTTCCACCCAGCCTCTTCTCATTCATAATTTCACTTTCTTACCGTGTCTCCTGAATAATGTTGTACCATGCTGCAAATTTTGGTATCCATTCAACACCCAAGTAAATACAGGGCCAGTATCGCCAATAGCGATACTTACAAAGACAACTTGTGTAGCAGAGAGTAGTGTGTCATTACTTATGAGGTCATCACCAATTTGCAACACATTGTAATGACTGGGATTTTTTTGTAATTAATACATGCCTTTCAACTTTTCATGTTTGTTAAAACTGTTTTTTAGACCTTCAATGTTACATATATATTTTGCTTAATTTTTTTTGTTTCCAAAAAATAATAAAGTCAGTGGGTTATATACTGAACTTAGGATTGATACTTTGTTTCGATCCTCTGTCTTGTTGATACTGTTGTCCTTCAGATTGATACACCCACCTCTACTACTGAATAATATTTGGACAAGGGAACTGTTCATTTTCAGCAAGCAGCCATTAATTTCACTTTTTCCTTTTATGCTTTATGTCTTTAATGTAGAAATAGAGAAGGAGAAGTTGTGCTCATCTGAAGATGTGGATGGAGGAGGGGCTGTGGCAAACAATGCTGGTGGAGGCTCCAGAGGAGGTGGTGGTGGAAGTGGGGGCAGTGGAGGGGTATCAGCCTCCCTGACCCCAGCCATTTGGGAGAAGACCATTCCGTATGATGGGGAGACATTCCACTTGGAATACATGGACTTGGATGAGTTCCTCCTGGAGAACGGTATCCCTGTGACCCTGGAGGAGGAGGAGCTGCAGAAGACGCTGACAGTTGAAGACAAAGGCAAAGCCATTCCCAAGGCTATTGCAGGAGCTACCACCACCACTCCTACTACTACTACTGAAACAACTACTCCCGCTACTCCTGTTGCTGCAGACTCATCATCTCCCCCCTCTGCCTCCATGGCTACCCCAGATCCAGAGGAGCCTGTGACAGTCACCACGTTACAACCGGCTAAGCTAGAAGAAGAACAAGAAGAAGAAGAAGGAGAAAAAGAGGAAGAGCAAAAAGAGGAATCTTTGCCTGAGGAGGCAACGCCAAAAGCAGAAGTAAAGAAAGCGGGTGAGCAGATTTACTGCATGTGTTAAACATTAACACCTGATGAAAACTGTTATTTCCTCTCAGTTATGCAGCTCTAGTTTTATTTAGTTTGGTCTAAGAATGTCAATGCTGGCATGGCTATCTGAGTCATAACGATTAATAAATGTTACCAAATCTGGCCAAACAAGCTCTGTGACAGACTGGTGACCAGTCCCAGGTGTAGCCTGCCTCTCACCTCATGACAACTGGGATAGGCTGGATTAAATAAGGAATATCGTCAACTTTATAAAATGCGGTATGCCAGAGCATTTGGCAGTAGGACATACCTTATACAGATTTTGGTGCTTGCCCAGCTATTTCTGTGCATTATTACTCTGCTAAAGTGATGTGGTGAAAGGCAGATTTTTGCATATAATTTTCATCTAGGTCTTCAATGCTAATATAGTCAAATAATTTCACTGCAGGCAGTTTAGTCACATGTTAACAAACTGACACAGAAGCAGTGATGGAAATATTTTTTAAATGTATTTTTGGGAGGTGTCCAACTTAGACACCTTTCATTTGAGCTGCACAGAAACTTTTAAAGCCTTTTTTTCCAGTGTGGCATGTAGTGAACTTATTTGTTTTACTACGTTTTATAATTGTTTTTATGTAGGTATGGTTATTATTCCCACAAAGACTTGTGCTTCTTTTGTATAACCCTCAGTTTGTTTGTTTGTTTTTTTTTTAAATGAGTGTTTGCAATGATAAAATATCTTTGTGGGATCAGCGGCTGAGAGCAATGAAGCCTACATAGCTCCCTAACAGGTTTCACAGTAGTGGTGTGAAGTCTGGCCACCTGGTTCATTGCCGTTTACCTGTCTTGTGTCCAAGCTTACTTTTTCCCCTGCTGGACTCTGCAGAACGTAACACGCCCTCCCCAATCGACCCAGACACCATTGAGGTGGACATTAATTTCCAGCCAGATCCCACAGACCTGGTCCTGTCCAGCGTGCCCGGGGGTGAGCTGTTCAACCCACGCAAGCACAGGTTCTCCCAGGAGGAGCTGAAGCCGCAGCCGATGATCAAGAAGGCCAAGAAGGTTTTTGTTCCCGATGAGCAGAAGGTCAGTGGAATCAAATTTTCTTCTCCCCAAACTGCAGTTGAGATGAGTTCACTCCAGTCTGAAAAAACACTGTTGTAAAAACTAGTTAATATATATGTCATACAGTTTAAGTCTGACATATATTTAGAAAATTTCCACTCTTTTCATCTTGTTCAGTTGTCAGAAAAATGCATTTATCAAAATTGGGTTTGCAGAATGTTTAAGCTCCATCTCCAATAAAACATTAGAATTGAGCTGATGATCTCCTCAATCCAATCCCTTCTTTTATGTGGGCAGGTTTAACTCTTCTTTCTGTCCCTTTTCATTCCTCTAGGATGAGAAGTACTGGTCGAGAAGAAAGAAGAACAATCTGGCAGCGAAGCGTTCCCGCGATGCACGCCGCCTTAAGGAGAACCAGATCACCGTGCGTGCATCTTTCCTGGAGCGTGAAAATGCTGCTCTGAGGCAGCAAGTGGCTGAGATGCGGAAAGACTGCGGTCGCTGTAAGAACGTCCTGGCTCGATACGAAGCCAAGTACGGCCCACTGTAAAAAATAAATAAATAACAGAAAAAAGGAAAAAAAGAAAACTCACAATAAAACCCATGACGAGACAAAAGCAGAACTCCCTTCCCCGCAAATTTCAACACAGATATAAACACCTAGGGAATCTAAATTTGCACTGTTGTCTTTGCCGACCTCCAGTCACTGTGTTCGGCTCCAGTTTCTAACACAACGCTGGAGTTTTGGATGCACACTGGCAGGCAGTGAGGCATGATGGGAGCGGTGGTCACAGGAAGGCCTGTGGAGAGCGCCTGGCTCCTACACTCGGAGAGGAAGTGGACCGTTCTGGATTCTCCCATGGTCAAACACACATGGAAAATATGGTCGTCTCGAGAAAAGTTCAAAGAGAGTCAAGCGACATGAAAAGAGCGGGTCGGTTAGAAAGAATCGCACGCGTTCAAATTCGATACAGCAGTTTCTGTCAGAGCACAGCACACCTTAATGGACCAAAGCACGAGTAGCGTCAGTCAGAAGTTGGGTATTTAGAAAGGTGCACATGTGCACTCCTCCTGTTTTCCTTGTGTTGCACTTAATTAGGAGGCTCAGAAGAAGAAGAATATTTAGTGAAGTTGCGCAGTGTAGGAGAGGAACAGATGACAAATGAGCCGGAGTCAGGTTCAAGGTGGTACTCCCAGTCTGGAGAGGGTAAGAGGAGGGAGACCTCAGGAAAGGTGTGGTCCAGTCAGAGTTCTTCCGTCACACAAGCACGCCTCTGCACACTGTTTAAAAACAACTGTTATGTATATATAATCATCTCTCTGCACCATTTTTATAGTGTATAATCCATTTTGCACTTTTTCATTAAAAAACAGAAAAGAAAACACACACACGGTGTGTGGAGATTAAGCTGGTAGCAGCTGTCTACCTTATTAACGATGATCACAGTGGGAGCTGTTTTAATGGTAGCATACTAATGAAAATGCAAAGTAGGTCTAAAGTTTAAAGCTTCTGTGATTTTTAACATCTTTTTTTCTACTAAGATCAGCTTCCAGAGACTCAAAGATTCAGTGAAGGAGCAGATTGTTTTATATATGGGGAAAGAGTAGTAGTTTCTATCTGTGGGTTACTGTTAAAGGCATGCTGTGCATTTGATCTCCAAGGCCTTTGATTGTAGAGGGGTATGTTCACATGTACAGTACTACGCACATGTCTTGTGCCACCCTTCATTCCCTAAAATTTTGCTCATAAAGTGGGATATAGATGCAGGATTTTATTGACATACATGGAAATACAGTGTCTAAGACAAACACAGAGTTTGTATTATTCTAACCAGCTTGAAAGTTGATATTTGGAAGGATCACCTTATTCTTCAACACAGCCTGATCTCTCTTAGGCAGCTTTCTTCTCATTTCTTTAAGTTGTCTTCAGGAATAGTTCTCCAGGACATTTTAAGCTCTTCTTTGGATGTTTCTGCCTTTCTGTTATGTTCTCTGTCAACATGATCCTACACTGCTTCAATAATGCTGAGGTCTGCGCTCTGGGGAGGCCAATCCATGACTGATGTTTTTCTATTCAGGTATGCTTTCACTGCGTTGTTTGAGATGATTGCCATTCTGAAAAATAAAGCTGTTTCCAATTACGACACTTTCCACATAGTATTGTATGATGGCTCAAAATCTAACAGTACTTTTCTGCCTTCATAATTTCATCAATAGTAACAAGATCTGAAAACTGTTTAATGCCCATCAAACTGTTACTTTTGATCTTTTGCGTAGATTCAACAAAAAATTTAAACAAGTATGTGTTTTGTGACAACTGCTAGTAACAAAAATACAATTTAAAATCTTTCTTTGGAATAGTGAAAAAGCAGCCAGTGTAAAAAACAAAAAATAAAATCAACTTTGAAAGAGCTTTTTAGAAATCCTGGAGAACTATTGCTCAAGACTACTTTAAACAATAACAAAATGTGGCTCCTTGAAAGCAAAATATAAAGAAATGAGGGGTAGGTTTAAGGGTTTTTCACAGTGCTGTTGGGATGTTTATTTACTGCACACTGCAGTTAGTGTGCTAGAGTCACTGCCTGCCTAATGGTGTCGAGAGGACTGGATTGATTGGTTGCTTTTTGTTTTTTTTATCTTAAGCAGGCTCAAAGTTGGCTGTTTCTGAACCTTGTAAATATGTCTCCTGGTCTTTATTTTGCTAAGACGGGGACTCTGTGTCTTTATTAACCCTACAATATTCCTTATATTTGCCAAATAGTTGAATGAGTGCTGTATTTATTCTTGGGTAATGATGCATTTGTTGATTGTGATGTACAAACAATGTGTCAGATAATTTTATTTCTCCTTAGGATAATAATAATAATAATAATAATAATAATATCTATATAATGAAACCAATGACAAAGCAGGGAATTCAAAGGGTAAACTGTGCTTTTGGATGTTTGTTTTAAAAACAGGTTTATATAGTAATGTGGGCTTTATTTTTTGTGGGGTGGGGGTATTGTGTTGTGAACACACAAAGGACAGGGTGCACTTTCCTTTACCTCGTCCAACACTTGCTACTGTGAAAGGTAAAACATGGAGCATGGCTACAAAGTGTTGGTTGAAGCAAAGAACACGTACAAAGCAGCTTAGTTTCATTTGGCAAAACCTTAAATCCGACTTTATAAACTGAGTTCTTTCCGCCAAAGCTTCTGAGTGTGAATCTTAATTAGTAAATATGTTGCAGACTGTTATGGGACTCTGTATCTCAAACTTATAATTTTCTTTTTGATTTTTATCAGCCAGCTTGTGCTCATAATCCTGGAAAGAAAATAAATGTGGCAATAATACTCTGTTATGTAATGCTAGTTTGATTTCAGTAGTGATGTTGTATGTATACTTACTATGATGTACTAAATAGAAATGCCCCAAAATCATTCGTGCTTCCAGTTCTTAATTCTCTGTAGTCCGGGATCTTAATGCATGAAACCCAGTGAACCTGTCTGTCTCTCTCTCTCTGTTCCTTGTTTGTTTTTTTGTTTTTTAAAGAACAAGTTTTATACCAAGTGTACTTATGTCTGTGAACCATTACCGAAAACTAGAGCTCTTTGGTTTTTGGGGGGATGACGTGGGCTGATGGTGTATTGTGCAGAACAGTGGAAAAAAAACAAAAAAGCAGAGCATCTTTGCTGCGATGTCCTTTTGTTTATGACAGCACCGCCTTTCCTTGTGCAGCCAGCGCTTGACCTTGTGGTGAAAACAGCTGAAAGCAGCATCTTTTAATCACTGTGGATTATTATCTTTTTTTTTTCTTTTTTTTTTTAAATTTGCTATAGATTGATCTGTATCTGGATACACAGGAATCAGCTGGTGCTTTTTTGTGTTTTTTTTTTTTTTTCTTGTCTTCTTGATTGCTAATATGATCATTTGAGTTTCCTGATAGTTTATTGTAACAGCTGGTTCTTGGGGTTTTTTTTCTGTCACATCGACTGCACTGAGCTTTAGACATCAGTCTAGCTGATGAATGCAAACTTGGACATTTAAAAAGAAAAAACTGGTACTGGCCACCAGAGGTTTTTAGAAGCCAATAAAATAAAGATCATATTTTGTATAGTGATGCATAAAGTATGTAGCAGTTTCTGTTTGATGTGAAGCTCCTTATGAAATCATTTTTCCTTTTAAAGAGGTTGGAGTTTTTCCGCAATTCTCTGCATGCAGACCTGCAGTTATGACTTTTGGATGTAGGTGCGTCTTCTGCCACCTACTGACAAAAGATGGCTCCTGCACTTGTGAAACCCTTTGTGCTACTTTTGGGTAACATTTAAGGAAAACTAGAATCCTGGAAATGCACAAATAATTGACAGAGAACATCTGGCACAAGTGTGTGTGCGCACAGGTGTTTGTAGGTGTGCTCAGAGCAGCACGACTAGATCTCCAATCTAAACCTCAGTTTTAAGGTTATTGCTTGAAACTCTTGTCACTGGTTTGAGATGCTTCGCATTGACAACACAGTGTCCTTGTTTACTTATTTGAAGTAGCTCCCGGAAAACCATTTTAAATCTCTTTCTGGAAACATTTTTAAAGACTTGTGGTGTTTTTGGCTTTCTGTTCTGATTTTTATATAAATGTGGTTTTTTTCTCGTTTTTGTATTGTCCCTATCATGTATTGGATACATGCAACTGCAGTATCGTGTCCTAATTGTATCTTGTATTATGCATATGAAATAAATTTGGAGTTTTACCGACACGTGGCCTTGTCTTTTTGACCTTGCCTGATTTGCTGACCAGCTGCGGCGGCTGTGTGACAAATGTCGGGTAACACAAGGAGCTGGTGGATAAATGAAGGCATTGTCCTCATCCTTGATGCACTTGCGCGCGCACACACACAAACACAATCCCTCTGAGTGCACATCTTTTCTCCCCCTTTTCATTGTCCCTCCATTACCTCTCTCCTGCTGCTCATCAGTATTCCAGCAGAGTAGGAGATGTTGCGTAATGATCACATCGACAGACAGGGGAGCAGAATTGCGTAACACATAAGCAGCCTCTAAAGACCAGAGGGATGGGTGTGTGTGTGGAAGATGGAGCAAAGACGACGAGGAAGCAGGAGGTGGGGACAAGCAGTGGAAAGGATCAGGTAGTGGTAAAGATGGAGAGTGGGGGAGGGAAGATAGCTAGATGATGAAAAGAGAATGAGGGATGCGGTGCTGAGGATGCAGAGCTATGCATGTTGTCACACCGCGACATGAGCAAGCCAACCTTCCAGCTGGCTGTACACAGACACCAGCACGGGGCAGGACAGGCAGGCGGAGTGCTAGGTGATGAAATGCAAAGTAATATCTGCTGGGATGGGTCCAGCTGAGGTGGGCTGGTGAGCAAGCTGGCTGCTCACCATTTGAGAATTCCATCCTTGCTTTGAATTATTGATCAAACATCACTCGAATCTGTTTACCGCAATCAGAGCAATGAGCTGCTCCAGGACTCTCACGCACAAACCAGGGGTCTGAACCCACACAGAGACCACAAAGGAGGAGGACTCACCCCCGCACTGTCACGCACAAATGAGGACGACACAATCAGCTTAATTTTTCCATGCTTATAATTTTTTGCCAATCTGTTTTTATTACAAACTTAAAAAAGGATCTCATACAATAAGAAACTGCAGTAGTAACTCCCCATTCCCGAGGGGGCAGCACAGAAAACAGGTCATTGCATCTCAGTAGTGAAATATTCATTATACATCTACAGGGTGTACAGATCAGATACAAAATAGGAAGAATAATAATAAAATACAGGCAGGAAAGAAAACACTATTTATACATCATCTGAACATTTTATTAGATCCATTTTACTCTTAAAGGTTAATGTTTATTCACTTTTTCCTTTTTCTTTTTTTACATAGAAAATAAATTTATTTTATGACAATGAAATATCCCAAAGTGCAAAGTAAAACGCAAACATCAATATAAGCAAAACGACATCAGAATACAAAATTCTTGTGTCCATCGTCATTCCTGCTCAACCCTGATTTTAGAACAGCCCGTATTCAGGTTTATGGTGCTTCCCCCCTTTATTTACTTCTTTCAAATATCTAAGAGCTGACTCTCCAGCTTGTGTTATTAGGAAATTTAATACCACCATCGCCTCTATGCTTATTTTTTGTTTCAATTTTGGTTTTAATCAGGATGTGAGGGGTACAGAGAAATGTTTCTGGTCATGCATGACTCAAAGAATCCCTCCAAATGTTTTCACCATTAAATAAACCTAACACAATCTAAACCAGGGTTGACAACAGTTCAGAGCAACATTCATTTCCTTCGTCTTTTCCCAAACCGGTTGCCTTCTTATTGAAGAGAGATATTGGAGAGAGGTAGAAACCCCTTGAATCCTTCAGGGTTGTTTAAAAACTTATGGCATTTCATTGAATTGGAGAAGGGTGTGTAAGTAAAGACAGTCTGGGATTATGGCTATAGTATCAGTACCATAAGGATCCGGCTGATGGAGCAAGGGTGGCTCAGTCAAGACAAAAAAAGGATAAAGAAACATTTTGTTCTTTTTAATATTAGCAGATCTGGGAATTGAAATGCAGATAAATTAAGAGTGTTGGGGAGTTTATAATATACAGAGTGTGTGCTACGTGAAAATAGGACTAATTAATTTTTTTTAAATAAAAAAAAAGAAAAGAAGAAAGAAAATACATTGTTTTGGTTTAAATGTAATGCCTATGGGGAGTGCTGCTGTCAGACTGCCCTCGGAGCACAGAAAGAGGTGATCAGCCATCTTTTCCTACACAAACCCACTGTAAACATTTCTAACTCCAACTGCAAACTGAAGAATGATTACATTTACCCGTCTTATTAGACATATGGTGTACAAGGTACAATAAACATTCAATACTTTATTCTGTACATCTTTATTTACGTCTCAATTTGCATATATTCATGTTATTTTTCTGAAAAAATAACTTCAGCATGTAAGAAACTAAACAAAGAATCTCAACATAAGAACTTTTTATACACATATTCCTGGACTCTGCATGTCTTATACAAATGTTTTAGTGATCATTTTCAAAAACTAATATAAAAAAATAATAATGGTGGAAATAGATTCAAGATCAAAAAGAAAAAGAAAAAAAAAAAAAAGCCTTTTCCCTCACAACTGTAACATTTACAGAGGTGTACACTTCACCCACTCATTCCCTCTGAAACAAAAACAACTAAAGCTTGCTGCATATGACAGTAATGCCACATTGCAAAACCAACATGAGGACAAGACAAGGGTCCTTCTAGTACAAAAATATCTATAGTCTGAAAAACATTAACAAAATAACAAAAAACTAAACAACCAGCCAACCAAGAGTGAGACTGACTGCATCTCTTTCCCGTTTGTGATGCAAATGTAGCTCATTGGAGTTTCCAAAGCATTTCATGACATCTGAATAAAATGTGCAACAGCCAAACGGAGGGCAAAGGAACGGTTCGGCATCGGGAGCCTGGTAATAAAGTGCTGGACCGCTGGACGTGGACATGTGGAGGTTACCCTTCTCTTTCAGGGACGAACCAACAATGACATCAGGCCCCGCTGTTAAACTGCACCAATACAAACATCAGATCTCTGACAAGCTATCCAGTGACGCGACAGATGCCACAGAAGAACACTCCTCATTGCATCTCTGTTCGCATCACTGCAGCTGGGAAATAAATTAAAAAAAAAAAAAAAGAAAGAAAGAAAAAGAAAATAAAGAGAGCAACCTGAACTGTACCATTCTGGTTTTTCCTTTGCAACAGCCGGAGGAGCAGAGATCGCTGGAGAATTTTAAGAGGACTGAGAGAATAGTGAGCCTTTGGCTTCAATACCATTTAAGCCCATCAGAAACGTGCTCTGGGTGTTAAAGCGTTGCTTTCTAAGCCAGTACACCCTGAATGGCACAGGGGGCAACAGAACCCTCTAGCTGCTTCTCTCTCTTACCGTTTCCCTCCCTCCCTCCTGTCCATGCAGAGGAAAGCCTCTCCTTCATAGTCAAAGTCATGCTAAGCCATTTATCACAATCCCTAATGCTGAGCTACTGCTGCATTCCCACCCCCCCACCCCCACCTCTCATCCTTCCCGCCTGTTCACCTTCATATGCTGCTGACTGGTGTATGTTTGAATATGTGTGAAACCACAATTTGCATCTTTATGTGCACAACTGGCCTAATCAGCACATGGTTATCGCCTTAAAATTCAAAAGATTCATTTGTTTTCACATTCATAAAAAAGGTACCCCCCCCACCCCCAAATCCATTTTGCCGACCTTCACAGCTGCAATTTCCCTTGACAAGTACAATACATTCAACTACATTACTCTTAGCGCCTCGATTCTCCCCTTAGCTGCCCTTGCTTCATTGAAACCCCGGTCACGTGCCCATTCCAGCTGATGATAACCTGCTTTCAACATGCGTCCACCAACAAGACTTGAAATATGCCCGTGCGTCAAGTTGTTTCAAAGGTAACAGGGCTTCACTGTGCAAGGAACGAGTCTCTCAATCACTCTGAACCACGACCAAACTACACGCAGAGAGAGCAGAGCCCCTCCACCAACCCCACCCCGTATTTGTGGCAAGTAGGGCAGAGCAGATTGCAGAGCAAAGTGCTGAGTTTTCCACAGCCGTCGTTCCCTGCAGGACTTGGCAAAGTCCTTTTTCACAGCATGACAGTGCAGTGCAAAATGGAGCTATACTAGAGTCCACTAGACTACAAGTCCCAAAAAGCAAGAAGGAAAAAGGAAAAAAAACTCACATTAGCATTCATTGCAAAATCATAAACATGAAATTGGAGATGGCAAAAAGGTGGACAAAAAACAAACAAACAAAAAAAAAAACCAAACAAAACAGAAGCACCCATTCCAAGCCAACACAAATACAAATAACAGGTAACAGCAATGGACACAGGAAGTAGGAGCAGGGTGGGGTTTGGGCTGGGTTATAGAGATACCAAACAAATCACACTAAATATTTAGTGGACATTGTAAATCTTTGTAGTAAAACTAATTCTTAACACACATTAGTATTAGAACAATTTGTTAGAAAAACTGAAAATATCAGGAGGGTCTTTGCCGTACACCCAACTGCTCCTGCAACAATTCTTATTACAAATGAAGGCTTAGTTGGCCAGCACGACAGGCTGGAAAGACTGGCTGGGATATTGCAGGTTGTAGCTTCCTAAACCCTCAACAAATGGTGGCTTCTCCATGTAAGAGATCCCTCCACTGCTGCCAATGATGCCCACGCTCTGGGCAGGAGGGCTGGAGAACGGATCAAATGGTGGGTGGGTGTTGATAGTGTGCGAGGGCTGGAAAGGGCTGGTAAGAGGCTGCATGGGCTGGGTGTCTGCATCAAAGTAAAGAGGGCCTGGAGATCCTGGGTAGACAAACTCTTTGGCGTTGGGGGAGAGCTGGCTGTGGATGGGACCCCCGAGGGAGTGCAAGGAGAGAGAGAGGGGCTTGTGCTTAAGCAGCTCTGGTGCTGAGATGGTGGTAGGAGAGCGGGAGAGTATCCTCTGAGATGGTGGTACGATGACACCAGAGCCTGGAGACCCTGACCCGGCCCCACTGCACTTCTTCATTTTGGTGGAGCCGAATTTGGTGGCGGCGAAGCTGGCAGTGGTGAAGGTGATTGGCTGTGGACGGGCAGCAGGAAGAGCAGCAGGTGGCTGCTGAGTGGAGAGGTAGGGCAGACCGCCGCTCGGAGG